ATCGAGTAGAGCATTGTTTCTCGCGCTACCCTTCGAATGGCGATCACGAAGAAGTACTCCGTACTCAATATTCCGTACTCGATATTCAATAATTCGCTCGGCCATCGATGTTCGGCGGCCCCGTCGACGTTCGCTGACCCTCGCGCGATGAACTCGCATAAAATATAACCGAATCAAATCGAAAGCCACGAGGAAGCATTACGTTCCGGCCGGCAGCACGAAATCGAGGTTAAGCTTTTCCGGTTTTCGAAGACGCTCGCCGATATCTCACATTAATGACGCCATAAACGCTAATGCCTGTCGGCGGTGGCCGATTATTCGTAAGCGCACTCGACAAAAGGGCGATAATTGTTATGGTGGCTTTATGACAAATGCAACGATACGAACGATAATGGAAGCCGGATGAGTACGTGATTTGTTGATCTCTTTCGGTATATATTGTTTCGTTTTACGCGATTACTTCCCTTAGTCCAAGCTTGCTTTAAATAAACTTTGTAATTCACGTCACAGAAATCAAGTCTACTTTTAATTTATAATAATTTGTATATAAGTAGATTTTGTTATTTGTAATTTTATGTGTGTAATACGAAATACATAAAGGAGACTTTCGATACTACAAAATTAATTATTCGTACTGGATAGAACGTGATTTTGTATAAAACATTTATTAATATTTAAATATATGCTAATTATTATTTATGTATAATTGTGTAATTATATATGTATCATTGTATAATTGTGTTTAATAAAATTATATAAATTAATATACACTAATTTTTTTGTCAAGTTTCATGTATGTGATGCATACGACAGTAGTTTCAAGTATACATCTTAAGCAACGGTAGTACAAGCGTGCCCTGCAAGTTGGCGACACCAGTCGGACAGGTACTACCTTCATCAACTCACATATTCTCGTGATATTAAAAAAGGCATTATTAAAATACGATGCAACTATTTTCCTAAATTTCTCTCATTTCGCTTAAAAGCCTGATAATAGCAATATCACTACCATCTTTTACAGACCTTATGTGTACGTTTACTAGAAAATATCATAAATAATTCAACCTTAAACACAGTAAGGCAAGCCACTTTTACGTCGTTTCATTTTTATTATTTTTACTCGGCAATTTTACGAATATACCGTGGCACAAATGGTCGCAATTGAAACCGCTGAGGAAGATATTTCACGTTCAACTCGCAATAAGCTTGCGGGCCGAGCGTAGAAACGCGGTTCAGAGAACAGCGCGTGACTCGCGACTTCGTCGTTCGGGGGGTGGTGCCATTCCCCCCCGGAAAATAATATCCCGGTGGCGAACGCGCGGATATTCGCCCGCTTGAAAACGGCGCGGCCTTACGTCCCAATGGCTCTAACGTTATTTCCGACCGAGATTTGCCTGAAATTTGCTTCCGTGCCGGGACCAGAAGACCATAAATATGTAATACCTCCCATATCGTGCGGCTCGGTTGCCCCGCTCCCCATTTTCTCTTCGCCGAGAAAGCTCCCCTCCCCTCCCCCTCCCGGGGATCGAACCCCGTTCCCGTTGTCGTCGTCGCTTTTGGTGACTCTTGCAACCCTTACGTGTTTTTGCGGGGCTGTAGCTCGCGGCGATGTACAAGGGGAAACGCGGTAAATCATTTGTCCCGAAAGAAAACACAATGCAATATCCCGGTTGTCCTGCTCGAGACGCCATCGCCTCCGTCTCTCCCTCCTTCTTTCTCCTCTATTTGCTGCCAATATCTTCTCCTCTCTCCTCTCTCCCTCCCCCCCTCCGTCTCTCTCTTTCTTACACACAGATTCTCCATCTCTCGTGCTACTTTTCGAGGGAATTGCGAAAGCCATAAGTCAGCCCTTATATTGCCGAAAATACTTTAAAGTGCCTCGCAGACTCGTATAAGAGAACGCACCTCGAGAACGCGCGCTTTGCCTCTTACGAAAGCATAGACATGTTTTATCGCCGCTGTTAAACGGACAGCAGAAGAATGACACACACACGGACCGAACGGAGGTGGACGCGCTTTCGGGTGACGATTTTCGAGAAGCGCGTCCGGGGTCGTTAAAATTGCACGAAGTCCGCCGCGAAAAGGATAACGCTCCCTTCAGTTATTTATAACGGACATTTTTTAGCCCGAATACTTTATGAGCGCATGATTATTGGCTGAAGTTGACAATGATCGTGTAAATTTTGGCACGCTGATATCAAGATTAATAAGATCAAGTGCATAAAAGAAAATAAAATATGTATCGCGTTACTCTGCTAATAATATCATAAATTTAATGCAAATATAATTATAAATACGTATAATTTTAGATTCAATAATTAATTTTTTATCTCTTTAATCTCTAAAGGCCACTAATCTTTTGACAGAAATTGCGGAAAATGATTTCTTGAAGAAAATTAAAAAAAGCGCTCTTGCGCGCTTTATATAAATCTTGCATATAAATTTATACAACTCAGAGCAATACTACTTTTTCGATTTGAGTGCCAAGCGATAACGCGAACGCTTATATCATTTGTATACCATCGAGTCGATGGATCGAACAAGAGGGGGAGGGGGGTAGCGCACATTAGAATCCCGGTAAGCGCGGCCAGGCGGCAGGAAACTCGGCATATTTTTCTCCCGGTTATCGAGAAAAGAAGGAAGGAGGACCCGTAAACCCGTAAACCCGTAATCCCGAAAGCATTTCTCGACGTAACCTAAAATAATGCCCGACAGAATCGAACAAAAGCATGAATTATGGACCCAAACCCGTCGCCATAGATCTCACCCACCCGGTAACTTATGATACACTTCCTTTCGGCATATGTGAAGGAAAACATTGTGGCGCGGGCACGACCGGCGATCCTTTTGTAATTTAACAGACGCGCCCTCCTCCCGGCCGCGACCTCTTAAGCTTTTTGCTGCGAAAGAAACGCCGTCGAGGAGTGTCGCGGAAGACTTACGTGGAGGGCGAAAAAGCGAAAAGCCGATGACAAAGTGGCGCAAAACATTTGCCAGTTTATCCCGTATTATCGCTTACGTCGCTTACAAAACCGGTAAAAATTCGTTTCGCCGACTCGACAAAACGTACGCGACGGAATAATCGTTCGTGAAATGACTTGAGTATTCGCGAATACTCGGAAAAATCTCGTGAAATAGCAGAAAAGTTTTCGTTACGCCAATGAGATCTCATCACACTAAAACAGGCAAGTTAAATGTTCGCGATAGTCGAGGCTTTCTCTCCGTATAACACGACTTAGCGGAATGTCAGCGAATGTTAACGTAGACAAATACACTCGACTCGAAGCCCTTCACTTCGGGGAAGTCAACGCAGTTCGCGAAGACGACCCCGGCGAGCGTCGTTTCGTCGCCAACAGTAATTTCGCGATTGATTCGCCATTAGATTCACGGCCCTCATGAGGAATTCATCGACGGCCTGGTCTGACCGCCGAAACTTCTCGTCGGTCATGAATACTTAGTCGCTCTCTGACGTTCCAGTCTCGATCGATTCGCGTAGCGAGCCAAGAGTGCCCGAGGCTGTTGACCCCCCTTTCAACCCCTTCCTCTTCCCACCCTGCTAACCTTCCCTCCACCCTCCCCCCCCGCCCCGCTTCCTCGCGTTTTCGGCTTGGCTCCAGTTTGCTCTCTGCATAGGCGCAAATTATAATGCCGGGGCTTAGAGACCGACCGCTCTGACAAATTACAGGTTTGTTCACCGGGCAACGGGAGATAGATTTCGTCGTTCCATCACCGTCGTTTCCAAGCGTACTCGCGCACGGGCATGCATATTAATTCGATTTTAATCTGAATCTCCCTCCCTTTCTCTATATCTCTCCGTGACACCGTACGTTCGACATTTTTTTTTTACGTCATCCAGCGGCGATAATTTTTCTCGATAATCTCTCTCTCTCGATGACGCATAATTTATCGCAGAATGAAAGAAGCGATTACTTTCATTGCGAGACATTAATGTCTCGAGTCTTGAAATCTTGGGACAATTGATCGCGATCGACATCGATAAACATCACGTTCGTCGAATCTTTGATTTATCGCGCCCCTCAATTGCAACCGCTATACGAACCGATGCTTTTCCGATCTCCACAATTCATCAGCGTCCATTCAGAGATAGCCGGGGAGATCGTTATGCCCTGTCACATGCGCAATCTCATTCACGTATACATCGCGACGCGAAGGAAGAAGACGACTCCCTTTCGCGTAAGACGACGCCGTTTCCGTCTGCCGTTTCCAACAGGAGGAGACGGGGTGACCAGCCACGGAATTAATTGCAACGACCGTGTCTTAATTGATAACAAAGAGCATTAAGATTTCGCGTAATGCTTGCAGTCAGGGAGCGAGATAGACGGATGGACGGATGAGGGCGAAGAAGCAAGGAGAAAGGAGAGGAGGAGGGGGAGGAGGGGGAGGAGGGGGAGGAGGTGGAGGATCCACGACGTCGAGGAGCCCAGACTAACGGCCGGTTGCGAAAGGGGAGGGTGAAATAATGCCGGGCGCGAGAAGCCGTATTTGCATTAGCTATTGTTTGACCCTAAAAACTGTCTGAATTGCACCGATGGCTGCTCGTAAAGCCCCGGCAATATCGCGGTGAATCGCGTTCCTCGAGCGTGCTCGAAATCCGAAACTCGGAAGCCGCTGCAACGGCTCGGGCGAAATTAATGTCGCAGCCTGGAGGCACAACCCTTTCCCCGAAATGGCTCGGAAACTCGAAGAAGAAACGTCGCACCACCAGTTATCGCGGACAAGCTTTACGGTCGCCGAGCGACACGTTGATAGATACTCGCGAGAGATACAATAAAGTTTCTTATATCATAACGTTTATTCTGTAATTTCTCGCTCTTTCTCTCGAAAAGATTTTTACGAACAAGCTGAGAAGAAAACTTTGCGCATAAAATCGAAAGAAATATTAAAAACGCTCCGGGTCGATAAGTCATAACCTAGCAATAATGAGCACACTTCGCATCGGTCATCGGTCAATGAATTAATCAGGAAAAAAGGCGACTCACCATCACGTGCCACTTTCTGATCGCAAACGTCGATCTTTTCGCCGATTGCGTGTTCACCACCATTGACGGTTACAACCATGACGAATATAACTCTCAGCGCACAATGTATCGGACTTTACGAGTGCCCACCTAGAAAAAAAAAGATGAAGCGATGGAGATAGCCGCAGAGAAATGGGGACGGGCTTTGAGGAGGGAGGCAGAAAGCAATGGAGAGCACTCAGATTTTATTACGTTATTTTGTTAATGCAACGAGTGAGAAGAAAGGTGGAAAGAGAAGTGGTCCACGCACCTCTCATGTCCGGCCACGAAAAATATTATGTCCCTCGGTCAGAAAACGAGCCATGAAATCTTTTTATGCCCTCCGCGTTCTGCGACGCCACCCCCAGACCCGTAGAATTTCACCTATGCGCTCTCCTCGCGGAGATATTACGAGTTGCTTCAAACAATGCGAAGTGACATAGTACAGAATATCGTGATACGTACAAGATATCAGGCAATCGTCAAAAAGTAACAATAAAAAAACTAGATATAAAGAAAAATTACAGCTTTTTATTATTATACAGGGAGTCCTAAAGCTGCCAAATGTCTTTTCAATAATAGAAATTCAATCTCAGGACAGCATATACAATATACGAAGGAGAACACGAAAATTTACAATTCAAACAAACTTATTTGTGGATCTTGAATTATACAATCAAATTGAAATTGCATTTAATTAAACTCTATTATCAAAGAGCATTTAAATGCATTTACATTTCCATTACGTGATACAAATTTTTTTTAATTTAATTATTAAAGTTAAAATGCAAAGGTTTTTCTATTAGAGATATTACGCTTTAATTCTACACGTGAAATGATTCCCCCCCCCCCCCGAACATTTCTCTTCAACAATCGCTGTATCAGAATGAATGGCCCCTTTTTTTTAAGCGACGCCGGCGGCATACCACGTACAAGCAGGGTTAATAAAGAAACTGCGGCACAGCGCCGACAATAAGATACTGATAAGCGGAAAACATGTTACAGCACGGCATAAATAGAAACCGCTACTGGCAAAAGAAGTCGTAAGCAGTTGCCGCACGTACGCAATTTTTGCCGCAGCGACAATGCTTTTTCGCGACTCATGGACTTTTTTTATTTAAACGTCGCATCCACACACGGGATTTAAATGCTCTGACGATAACCACGGAATTTAATGTCGCTTTTTCGTCACTGTAAGAAAAAAAAAACGATATCACATACAAATCTTGATAACAAATATTGTATTAATATTTTGGCTAATTAGCTTCGGTTAATTAGCTTCCATCGTGTGAGAGGCCAACATCGCTCTGAAGTACCAGTCATGAGAATTCGAGAACATACATGTATATGTGTATTGTAGATATGTATATATATATGTGTGTGTGTGTGTGTGTGTGTGTGTGTGTGTGTGTGTGTGTGTGTGTGTATATGACATTGTATTTAACGTGTATTTAACATGTTGTTCTAAACGTTATTGCGATGAATATCATACATGCCTTTATGATCGAGAGGATAAGATGCCCGATAAGCAGGGGATGCAGGTTCAATTCCTGGCCGAGGTAATATTTCACAAAAATAATAATTGCGAATTTTCACGACTGGTTCGTGATCGGGCCCCGCCTGACGCACACCCTCCCCTCTTATTTGGGAAGAAACATGACGACCTCCGAAAAGGAGGTCTACATTTTAAGATCGATCTCGAACGCTACGCGTGAAACGAGCGCTAAAGATCGATTTTAAAATGTAATATTTTTTTGGGGGTCATCATGTTTCTCGGCGAGGGCGCGAAAGACGACGTATGTCTGTCAATAAATGCGCCCGGTGGTATTTTAACAGCGGCAATAATTTTCGTCGCGCTATAAATCAACGCGCGAGTACGATGTGCGAAGGGGTGCGCCCTTCGGAAATCTTTTCGCGCGGAGAATATGACAGCACAGGAGAGTCGGATGAGTTTTGCCGTTTCTGTTCCCCCACACACATGTTTCTATAATAACATTTTTAATCAAATCATTCTCAAGATCTCACGAAACATGACAAATATAAAGACTTTTAATACGTACATTATTAAAAAAAAAAACCTTAAGGATATTTAGATTTATCGTGTCAATGCAATTAATTTTAAGATGTGTGAATGTGTTTATAAAACCTGTATGAGATTTATAAATTATAATTTAAGAATATGAATGAAATCATATCGTGAGGGAAACTCTAGTTTGTCTAGGCATTCCTGAAGGTGTACGTGTCATATCGATTCTGCGGTGGGCATGTATAACGATCGTAGCCTCAGTAAATTCCTTGTATGACTCATAGGGAGTACCAGTACGTCTCTTACTCCACTTAGAAACCAAATATAATAATCACGCGATCGCATAAACCGTGAAGGCGCTCGGTAGCATGTCTTTTAACGATAGTCTGTATATTTTCACGTGATGCACATCAAATGAACGTTTTTCGCCGGAAATCACGCATCGCGTCGTCGAATCCGAATAATAAAAAAGCCTGCACGGAAAAAAGCAAAGCACGGAGATGCATAATTCACTTTTATATATCGCAAATCAGATAATTTTATAAAAGGACGGGCATGTAAATCCATCATGCTCATAATCTCATTTCTCGAGTAATCCCCGTGAAAAGCTACGCTAATGAGAAATTAAAGAGTCCCGATTTCATCCCGATAGAATGAAAGTAAATTCGATGCGGTGATCGCGAATTTCAAGCGACGTTGTGCTATTAAATTTACATGAATCGTCAGTCGATGCGATTCGCCGCGCTTGTCGAAACGTGACAACGAAATCCGTTACGAGCCACCATCACCCTTGGACACGTTAGCGTCGTATACTAACAAAATGTCAAATTAGAGGAGCGTTTACGTGTCGCGCCGGCTAATGGTTTCTCGACGAGCACG